GGCTGCTGGCCGCCATCTTGGTTGGCAGTTAATTTGCATATCGCCCTGATTAGCCAATGGGAAGCGTGTCGGAGGTACGGTTAATTACCATGTTTGTCTATTATTAGATAGGATTCTATTTAATGCTAACAAAATTATGAGGATGACTTTACTATGTAAATGGAAAAATGGTTCAAATTTTTAAATTAAGTGAGTAAGGCAATATTAAAAAAAGAGTAAATGTAATTCTTCTGAATTTAAATCTAGTTATCTTTTTTTTTTTTTGTATGCCAGCGAGTAAGGTGAAATGGCTGCCCAGGAGATAACTTCACCTGCACAATAAGGAGTGGTGGGGAAGGGGCGTGAAACAACATAAGGGAATTTCCCTACCCACAGATATAAAATAAACAATTTAACCAATTGAGCATGTGATATGGGGATAGGGTTATCTAATAGGGGAGCAAGAAACTAAAAGGAATAAGGCAGGGATTTCACATAGATAAGTAAATGGAATGAAAATCACAGTAGTGTTTGTAATTGTTAAGGAAAAGATTCAAACTCAAGACCTTCCTCTTTACTACTAGATTTATACATACAATTGTTCATACCTGTTCTTTATCTGTTATATTATGTCCCTTGAACTTTTCCCACAAACTTTTGCCAATCTCTCAAGTGCTAGCTCTAATGCATCACTGAAGCATTTCATGATCCAGTTCCTCTTCCTAGGAGATGAAATATTTATTTCAGCTATAGGGTATAATATTGAAAGGCATCAGTACAGGGAGTGTTTGGGCACTGGAATGGAATTGTGTTTGCCTTTGGCCAAGCTTGATCAGATTTTCTGAGATGCCAGCATCATGGTCCAGGATCCTTGCATTGATCCTAGTCTCAGCTGGCAGAACCAAGAGAGGGTTGGGCAAATGTCAACTATGCACTCCAACATCAGAAACTGATGCAATAGTATTACATCTCTTACTATATATGAATGTAGACGTTTCTCTACTTCTTAAAGAGAGAAAAAGAAAGAAAGACTGATAGTAATCTGCATAGTTCAGCCTCATGTCCCAATGTCGTTGTCTGTGCTAAAATGCACTTGATTCCTGAATACAAATCTCACTTAATAAAGGCTTAGCTAAAAGAAGAAATGAGAAGGTGAGCGAAAAAAGTGTCTCAAGTACTCATCCAGATAGATACTCCTTTATGGCTCCTACATGGAAGGGTTAGTCTTGTACTGTCCACTATGGTAGCCAACAGCTAAATGTGACTGTTGAATACATGAAATATGACGAGTACAAATTGAGATGTACTGTAAGTGTAAAATATACCCTAGTTTTAAAGACTTGGTATAAAAACAATGTAAAAGATATTGTTAACCATTTTTATATTGATTACATTTTATAATGATAATATTTTTAATATTATGGATTAAATAGTTATTAAATTTAATTTTACCAATTTCTTTTTTTTACATTTTTATGTAGTCACTAGGAAATTTTATGTTACTTATGTGGCTCATATTTGTGGCTTCGATAATTGCTGGGGTCCAACCCCAGCAGGTCCAGGGGTCCCCAAAGGTGTGGACGGAGTCGGCGAAGAAGGAATGACACAGAGACAGCGTTCAGTTGATCAGCAGCCTAGCCAGGATCTCTAGCCAGGATCTCCAGCCAAGTTCTGTCTAGGATCTCCAGCCAGGTTCTGTTGTCATGTTCTCTCGCTAGATTCTCCAGCCAGGTTCGGTCACCAGGTTCTTTTGCCAGGATCTCTAGCCAGGATCTATCCAGGTTCTCCTGCCATGTTCTGTGTAGGTTCTGTCTCTAGGTTCTGTGTCTACTTATTTATTTTTTTGTTTCTTATCTCCATTCCAGGGAGTAAAGATTATGTGGCTTAAGCGTGATTGTTCTTAGTTAAAGTGATTAACTACCCGCCTGGCACTTAGTTAAGGGGTTTTATCCCCTCCCTAACTTCAGGGAAAAATCCCTACCTGGGGAAACAACCTTTCTCGGAGAGGTGACCTTGGTTAAAACACATAGCGCGAAGGGGAGCAAACATATTAAGAACAGTATGCCATATACGCCAGGTCCCTTGAAACATATGCTGTGCAGATGTTTCTTCCCTGCAGCGACTGTGTCAAGCAGCAAGGATGGACCGGCTCCCAGCAGATAATATTTCTGTGTGCAGTGCTGGTTTAGACCCAAAGTGTGGTCCAAGAACCAGCATCATTAGCATCATCTGGGAGTTAATTAGGGCCTACCCAAACCTACTAAATCAGAATCTACACATAACATGATTCACAGGTGATTCCTTTGTGCATTAAAACTTGGGAAGCACTGCTCTTAGACACTGCACAAAAGACTGATTCTTGACTCAACTGTAAGTATATGAAAAAGTTTGGAGCTGTGTAATGGTTAATTTTATGTGTCAACATGGCTAGTCTATGGTACCCAGCTAATTTGGTCAAATATCAGCCTAGATGTTACTGTGCAGTGTTTTTTGTTTGTTTTTTTGTTTGTTTGTTTTAAGATACAATTAAAATTTGCTATCAATAGACTTTGAGTAGAGCAGAATCTATATATGTAAAAGCCAAGCGACCAGAACGATGGACCGACCGGAATGACCGGTCGCTATGACACACACTGTGGTGGCCAACTGGCCCAATCAGGGCCCTGCTTGACCCCCCCAACTCCCCATGGCCCCTCCCTCCAAGCTGGCCACACCCCTGATTGCCCCCCCGCCCCGATCAGGGGCAGGGCCAGCCGGCCAATGGCCCACGGCCCCTCCCCCCCGTCAGTCCTGCCTTGATCAGCCCCCCACCCCAATCATGGGCGGGGCCAACCAGCCAACCTCCCACGGCCCCTTCCCCCCCACCATCGGGGTGGGCCGGCCTCACCCCACTCATGCACCAATTTGTGCACCAGGTCTCTAGTATACTGAATAATGTGGCTGGGCCTCATTTATTCAGTTGAAGAGCAAAACTGAGGTTTTCCAAAAAAGATGTCATTCTGTCTTAAGATGTCAACATAAAAGCAATACTGCCTGAGTTTTCTGCCTGCTGGGCTGCCCTTCAGATTTTGGACTCAAGACTGCAACATCAGCTGTGACCTGAATTTTCAGCCTTCTTGCCTCCCTGCAAATTTCAGACTTGCCAGGCCCCACAATCATGTGAGCCAAATCTCTCTCTCTCTCTCTCTCTCTCTCTCTGTGCCTGGAGAGCCCTGACTAATATAGACTGCTGCACTTCTCATGGTCCTAGTTACCAAAATCTCAGATCTGTTCCTATTCTTTCCCCCTTTTAGTTCTGGAATATTACCTAGTTTTTTAACCAAATCTAATTCATTTTTCTTTTTTCATCCTAGGGTTGATTCATGACTCCCAAAAGATAATCAGTGTTAAAGGATAATTTCAAAAAGGTAAAATTGTGTTTATACAAATATAACATAAACACACAAAGGCTTTATTTAACTCTCAATGATTGAACAAGTAAGCTGTTAGTATGGTTCAAAGGCGAATCCAAAGAACAGGCATATATATAGGTAATCAAATGAATTTCCTAATAGATGCAAAACTGATCAGTGCTTACAGGGAAATAAAATGTAATTTGTGGAGACATCTCTTCTTCAATTAATTGCATCCCCAAACAGAACAAAATTATTTGCATCTGTATGGATCAAAATAGTTTGCATTATTATCCATTTTTTACAACATATAGAAATGTAAAATAGCCCCAAGAGAGTGAAAAGCATAGCTCTTAATGTCAGAAAACCCTTAAAAGTCTAGTAGATAACATCTAAAGATCTTCTAGACAACCTCTGGGTCTCAGAAATAAATCTATCTTAGCTGCATCTTTAAGCTAAATCTCTAAAGCTATAATAACTAGAGATTACCTGAAGAATTTGTAGAAAGTGAAAATCCCTGTGCCCCACCTCTGATTTCTATATACAGGGTGGAGCAAAAGTAGGTTTACAGTTGTTCATATGGAAAATAATGCAATCTATAATAATCTATAATAATAAAAGCATAATATGCTAATTAGACTGGACAGCCGAACGACCTTCCAGACATCCTTCCAGACGACCTTCCGGACGAAGCTGGGGCTACAAGGGCCAAGGCAGCAGCCATGGCTGCAAGGGCCGAGCCTTTTGCAGAATTTCATGCATTGGATCTCTAGTAATTAATAAATAATAATACAAAAATAAACTGTTTCACATACTCACAACTATAAACCTACTTTGCCCCATCCTGTATTCTGATTCCCTAAGCAGGAGCCTAGGGAATTGTAGCAAGTACTCCAGGTATGAAATTTAAGCATGCTACACTTTAGAAGTGCTGTCCTAAAAACCAAAAATATCTCAACCAAATATATCTAGGTAAGGCAATCAGAAAATAAAGTCATTTAAAATTTTTTTCACTTGATGCCCCTTTGAAATACTGGGAAAATTTGTAATATGGCTTTATCATGGGAATAAAATGTTTTAAAAAAATCAACACTTGCTTCATTAATGTTAACGTCTTTTTGAAATACTGAAGTAGCTATGGCTAGTCCTGGTTTGGAATACATTTCTATTTAATACTATATTCAAGACTCAAATAATCTTGATTATGGACCTGATAAAGGGGAAAACCAAATTCATCACTTCATCTCAAGGGGCTTAAGAAAATGTGTCCTGTTTGTATTGCCAATGAAAAAAAAAGTACATTTTTTTGTAATGAAAAAATTGGCATACATCATTTTACTAAAGTTTTTCCTTCTGATGGTAATGCCTCTTCTCTGTTTGGTAATTCTTTGACCCTCCCAAAAGTTACCTTCTGTGACCCTCTTCTACTTTCATGATCCCTTTCTTTGTTTCATCATTATCACTCTTTTCTTTGTTTTTCCAAATCACTTTGTATTTTTCCTCATTGTATGTTTTATAGGGTAATTCACTGTTATATATCTGTCTTTCCTGCTAGATTGTAAACTTCTCCAGGGCAGAAAACATGGTGTAATTATTTTTGTGAACTAGTTCCTAACTTAGTTCCTAACATGGCCGTAATGTGAAATCTATACCCACAGGACACCAAACCAGTTTTGTGAATATAATTCAAGACTTCATCAGGTACTTTCCCCTCACAATAATAAATTAAAGATATATGCATCCTAATAATTTATGTTGATGACTGAATAAGTGACTGTTTTCAAAACATAGCTAGACTTCTTTGAAAATTGATAAATCTAAGAGATACTAAGCCCACTTTAATTTTTTAAAATTTATCTGTATTGTTGAAAGTATTACAGATATCCTTATTTTTTCCCATTAAACCCCTCCACCCTGTACCTACCCCTCCCAGACCTTTACCACAGTATTGTCTGTGTCCATGGGCTATGCATAAATGCATATAAATTCCCTAGTAAATCTCTCCCCACCCCCACCTTCCCTCTGAGATTCATCATTCTGTTCCATACTTCTATGTCTCTGTCAGAGAAAGATAAGTATCATATGATCTCACTCATATTTGGAATCTAATGAACAAAATAAACTGATGAACAAAATAGATTCAGAGACATAAGTTCCCATTTTTAGATTGTGAGGTACTAATGAAGAAAGAAAAAAAAGCCCCATATGACAACTACCTGGGATAAAGGGATGATTAGATAAATCTTTTGCTTTCTTAATTCTAATAAGTTAGTGTTCAACAATGTGGCATTTCTGTCAGCTTAAATTTTCTCTAAGGTGCTTTGTCTGATTCTGCTAGGTAATGCTAGTGTTCATAAATTAGGCAATGTTATTGTTGTTAGGGAACATAGATAGTTATCTTCTATTACAATCAATTTTGAAAAAATAATCTAGCATTTAATTTTATTTATGAGTGTGTTCTACACATTTCAAGCTGAATAAAATCTTAATAAATATTATGTAAAACATTATGATTATAACTAGTCTATGTCTAGAATGTGTGTGTCTGTACTACCCAGATGCCACTCTAATTTAGTGCTACATTATTCTCTGAGAGAGGTCAGCCAGGAAATGGGCCAGGGCCTTTTAAAAATCCCAGTGTTCAGCCAATTCTATTAGCTCCAAGTGCTTTGCTCTTTTCCTCTGTGAACATACATCAGCTTGGGATAATAGGTCCAATTTTCAAAAGGCTGCATTTGATTTATTTATTTTGGAAATTCAGCTTTTAGCCTGGAAAAAACACATGCTTGTTTTTAATTGCCAGATTCCCCACACCAAACTGGTAGATGGAATTAGAAAATATTTATCTTAGAGACTGATTACTGAAGCACATTTTAAATAATGAATTGTGAAGGAGAACTAACATTTTCTTCCCATTATCCTGATGATAGGAAGTAAGTTTACAGAATTTTAGTTAAGGGACTAAATATTCTGATTTCTTAAAAGCCTGCCTTAGAGAATTTAATGCCGTGTTTACTTCATGAAAGTGACTTTACTTCATGTATATATGATTTTAAAATAAAAAACAGAAGCAGGCAGTTTTTAAATGCATTGAGCAAAGAAGTGGCAAAATACTTGTCACTAAATAGATCAGCAGTATTGCAAAACCTGGCTCATCACATGCACAGAAATCCTATGCTATGGTCAAATAATATCATTGCCCATACTGAACCCACTAGCATTTTAAAAATTCTTCAGAATTTAAAAGATAGTTAAAGGATAATTTTGTAAAGGTTAAGTCATGATGGTCATAAAATATAATATGAACATGTGTCAAAGATATTACTTAACTTATTAACTAATGAAAGAACCAGAAAGATGTTATTGATTCAAGGCAAATTGAAAAAGCAGTAATAATAGCTCATGAAATTAATTTAAAAATAGATTAAAAACTGTCTTTTTACACAGAGGGAAGGGGAAATCAAGTCTCTCCAATAAACATAATGTATTTATATATGGAAAATATTTTCAGTTATTTTAGTTATGTACAACTTAGAATTATAAAATAATTCAAAGACAGTGAAAGGTGGAAATATCCCTGATAGATAAACTCAATAGGACACCCACTAATTCTTTTTTTGTTTGTTTTTTTAATCTTTTTTTAATTGTTTTATTGCTTAAAGTATTACAAAGAGTATTATACATGTCTCCTTTTTTTTTCTCCCCTTGACCTTCCCCTAGCCTCCCATACCCTCCAGTGTCTTGAGTCCATTGGTTATGCTTATATGCATGCATACAAGTCCTT